CAACATAATTAAATTCAGAGAAGCACTAAATGTTAACAATGTGTGGGGATTGAATTCCTTTTTTTGCCCTAATTCAGTTTAAGCCATTTAAATTAGTTCAATATTAAAGCTATTTTTACGTGTTTGTTTTTGAACAAGTGTATCTGATTATCTCGTCTGAAAGTTCAAACATGTTTAAACTCATTTAGGGGACAAACAGCAACACAATTAGCATCTGCTGTCACCGACATTCCCTAACCCATCCACACACACACACACACACACACACACACACACCAGCTGTTTCTGACCTCTTTAGTTATCCGACTCACAATTTGAGTTGTTGTTGAGACAGAGTCTCTTTGAGTCTCTCTCTGTCTGAGTATGTGTGTGTTTAAGAGTTGCTGTTTGTCTCCTGCTGGCTTCTAAACAGTCTTATTAATTGGTTATTAGATTCACCTCCACTGACCTATCAGAAAATCTATTAAAATGCAATCCTCTCTTCTACAGAGGCAGTTGAAGAATACAGAGTGTCAAGGAACAAGGTGGAATCATAATGAGAAGGGTAAACTGTGCGTCAAAGTTAAAAGGAGTTTGTGGTTAGACGCTGCTAGGCTAAGCTAAAGTGGACTGTTATATAGAGTGATCTTTTATTATTCAGAGAATGAATACTTCCGAAGATCACAGTGCAGTGGACTGAACCCAGTGATGTTTGACAACCTCTACTGAAATGTCAAAGTCAAAACTTTATTCCTTTCAGAGTTACTCTTAACAGAGATTCACACAAAGTTGAGGAAAGTTCAACTTTATGCAAATGAGCAACAGTGTGACGAGGTGACTACCAATAGGACTAAAGACACTGCAGAACATGTGATTTGTCTCCTTTGAGTGTAGATAAAAAGATAAGTTATGTTATTATGAGCAATTTCAATGTTTTACATGTTTCCACATGCAGGAATACAATAAAACATGACCAATGAAAAACCATGTCAGAATTATCGTTGTTTCAAGTTAGTTATTTATATTCATTATATGATGTATTGTGCACTGCTGCAATTTATATAAAAACACATTATCATTCGGAATACTTATTTTAGTAGGACCAACATTTCTTTAGAAGCAATCCATCTAATTTGTGATTTTCAAAAGTTATTTAAGCCAATTACACAGGCAAACAACAATGTTAAGGAATCCAGAATTAGAAACACTTACTATCAATAAGCTTAAGTGAACACACCCATGCTAAAGTTGACTAAAAATAGGAATAAAAAATAATCCTATTGCCTTAATTAAAAAAATGAGGAAGAATCCAACTGAAGCATTGAGAACTTTGTAAGTGTACAGACCGTTTAATAAGAAGATACTTTATTTAGACAGTTCACTTTGTGTATACAGACAGGAGCCATCTTGGAAAACAGTCACGACAAGTCAAACCACGAACGTCATGCTGAGTGATCTGAACTGTACGAAGTTCAGCGAACTTCTGAACTGTATGAACGGCGTTCGGGGATCGACATATCGAGACTATTTTCTAAGATGGCTCCTGTCTGTATTTACGAAGTGAACTGTCTTTATAAAGTATCTTCTTATTAAACAGTCTGTACACTTATAAAGTTCTCAATGCTTCATTTTGCATGTATGGATCATTATGTTATGGATGTATCATTATGTTACTGTGTTAGTGTGGGGCTATTTTGAGCCTTAATAGTGGTATAAACTACAGTAGCGATTTCTTTTTACTTCGTAAATGCCCCCAGTACTAGCATTATACGCTAAACAGTTTTTAGAGTTAAAACTCTTTACATTCGATTATCATGAAAACAAATCTCAGAGAACGATTGTACCAGTGTTTTATTAGACCAAAGGTTCATTTTGTGCCAGAGTTCTCCTTTAATTATAGTGCCCAGTTTGAATGTTCATAAGATTCAAACAGACCGCAACTGGAACTGCTGTCCATCACAGCGCTGAGGCTTCTGTCCACAATGAACTGCTGTCCTCCTCAAAACATAATCAATGATTTATGTAAGAAGTGTTAAAACGTGGAGGAAACCCTTGCCAAAATCATCTCATAAACAATTTAGCATTGATTTTTATCCAAAACACAATCTCAGCTAATGATTGAATCTACTCACGACATGGAATCCGTGATGAACAAACACCAAAAATAGCTGCTTCATTGCTATTATTCAGCTGGCAGTGTTCAGGACACAGGGCTATCAGAGTGAAGGGGCGAACGTCCCTCCCGGAGAGTTTGCGTCACAGCAGGCTGCATCGATAACAGCAGCCAAAAATAGCCCCGGCATGATAGACGGCGCAGGCTATTTTTGTTGGGGTCAAGAGAAACTATTAAACGCCTGACCCAGAGATGCATCACAGTCATTGACTGCTGGATGGTTTCTGTCCTCTTTCTGCAGGCTGATGTTTAATCCATTTGGACATATTTGAAGTACAAACACACTTAAGCTAATTGGTGTGCTAAGAAAGACAGATGGGAAGAGTTATTTTCATCCCTCAGTGAAAGTCCACATTTTTGTCACAGATGCATTTGAGCTGAAATTAGAATTAGGTGTGATTACTGATGAAAACCAATTAGTCTTTTTTTTTAATTTTCTATTTTTTCTATTTGTTCCCATCACAACTTACACAACTAACCTCACTGACCAATGAAAGTATCAGCATAAAAGTAGCAGATTCACATCTGAATAATATCAGGCACATTAATCTTCTGTCACTGCCATTGTTGACAAAAAAAATTGCATAGGATATAACCTCAGAATTGTCTAAGTTTACTCATTGGGACCTAAATTACATCTCCACAAGCCTTGAATTAGGTTCTCTCTGGAAACTTTGGATTCTTTCTTTCCCAGAGGAAACACTCAGATCCATCCATTCATTAATTATCTCAAATGGGCCATAAGCCTCACTGCTTCTGCTGTGATATTGCATAAGTCCAGGACTGGTAGATTCTGCTGTGTCAGCAGATGTTTACTGAGGGTGTTTTTTCATACCTGCTGAACTGCTTGAGTCAGACCCCTGCAACACTAACTAGTTCTTCTGACAGACCAGCATATGTTGTGTTTTGGATGCTGGTCTTTTGAACTGGCACAAAAGAGTCATTTGTTAAGGAATCCAATAGTTTGGTCAGTCAGATGGGGTGCTGCTGAATAAGAAGTGCAGGGAACTCTTTTGTCAACTTTGGACATGGCATGAATTTGGCATGTGCAAGAACCATTAACACAACCAAGTTAAATAAAAGGACTGTTAAAAAAAAAAAAGAAATGTAAACCCGTAGAGAAAGGAAAGATTTATCGCGGAACAGTTCAAGCTGCAGCTTGGCAACGCCCTCTTTTTTAAGAAAGCCAATCATATGTCAAGGTCCTGGCGTGGAACTTACCACTCAAATCACCTGAACAAAGAAATAAATAATATGTTTGTATAATACAAAACTGTAAAAATTATAAAATGTCTATTTTTGGTAAATTTAGTTTTACTTTGCTGGTAATTCACATACTATTTAACTAGATGACTAAAATGGAATTATTTGCCTTTTCAAAAAAAAAAAAAAAAAAAAAAAACACAACCAAGTCCAGCATACAACACCGGGAAAAAGATTTCAATTTGATTTAAAACTACAAGGTCAAAAAAATTATCATCATGCATTAATTAATCGTCCACAATAAGGTCAATGCCATGAGTTTAGAAAATAGTGTGAATTTTCATTTTACTGAGAACTTAAAAAAATGGAACCAGTTCTGAATAAGAATAAAGCATTATCCTAATATAAAGTGAGGCTGAAACAAGTCAAATTCTAACATGGGACAAATTATCTAAAGCAATATCCCTGTCCTCTTTAAAGCAGGTCTAGTACTATTAAAACATCTACCATGGGAATGTACTAAAACACAATAATGATCCCATCAGGACAAGCAATTTCCAGGAGTATTCACATAGTAGCTGTACTCTACTGTGACAGATATGTGATTCATTTCAGCAATTTTGGAAACGGATTGCATTTTGCTTCAATGCTAACCTGTGGCAATCCAGCATCCATCCATACATAGGATAAACAGGCCTAATTGTACAAATGAACTAGAAAACAGCAAGAAGCTATTTACAGCGGTCTGACAGCACCATGAATAATGGTGTGTTCATTATTCCCGACGAAATGTGATGCTTTCTGAAAATCACGCATTTGCACAGAAAGATCAATGCTAATCAATATGACTCATTGTTTGCAATAATTCTGTACATAAACAACAGGAACAAACTGGTCTAGTAAGAGTGACAAGACCAATACATCTGCCTTTCAATTTAGCCCATTAGCACCACACAACAACAACACCACCACCACTACACACACACACACACACTTCAATCAGGCTATATTCTCCATCAGCGAAAACAAACATATTTCCATCTAACAACCCTTTCATTGGACTATTACTTTTGACTCTGCTGGGAACCCCCTGAATAGTAAACAACAAGCTACAGGCACCAATAAGCCATGGATCAGAAAGTAGCCACACACAGGTTTATTTTAAAAATGAATAGCATTACTCCCTAAACAGATGCAAACACTGAAACTGATCTCAGAGCAGTGGTTCTCATACCCCCATTGTTCACTTCAATATTCAAATGCTTCTTCATGATTCTTCCAGGTGGTTATAATTTTTTTCTGATTAAGAATTAAGAACACATTTTGTTTTTAAATCACAATATAAAATATGTTTGTACTTGGCAAAAATGTATGCTCATAATAATAATAAAAAAATTGATATTATTGCATGACTTTTCCAGGTTTAGAATCACTGTTTTATAATTAGGGTAGCTCATTCAGTATATACAGTTTTTTTTAGATTGTGGATTCTCGGTTCTTTTGTTGGTGAATTAAAATAAGAAATACCTTGCGTTTTAGTTGTTGTAGTTTAAATTTATTTTAAGCCATCTTGATTTTGCTGAAGTCCCATGGTTGAGAACCACTGTCCTCACCAGTAGTCACATCTTCATGCAAGAGATCTCACCTGCAAAAAATGACAAGGCCTCATGGAGGACTTCAGATCTTGAGGCATGGTCGGTTTCTCTAAGTTGAGGGAAGATTTGCGGTAGGCTTCCTTAGCCTGGCTGACGGTTAGCGTCGACCAAGAGCTGCGCTTCATAAATTTGCCCTCCGGGGCCATAGCAATGCTCTCGCATGCCGAACATTTTACGTCGTTGTTGCTTTTGGAGGTCTTGAGAGAAAGGTCGCCAAAGTGCCCATGGTCTGGGTAACAGTGAGTAATATGATCTCCATGGTGCCGACTCATGATGCTGGGAGTCCGGTAGGTGCTGTCGCTGTCCAAGTTGTCGTCAGAACTCCACCAGCCAGCTATCCCTGAGCGTTGCTTGGAGTCTGACTTGCGTTCCTTGCTCTTACTCCGTTTGCTGTGTTTGTGATTTCCATGGTGATGTCCGTGATGGTGGTGGTGGTGATGTCCGCTGTCTGAGCGAGAGTCTCCCTTGGTGCCATTCATCTTAGACGACCCCTCGAGTGAGTGCGATTTGGTGAAGAGCTTCTGGACGGAGTGCACCAGGTGGCGGATGCGCCCAGGACTCTCGTTGCGCTGCTCGCTGCTCGTGGTGGTGGCGGACGTGCGCTGGTACTGCAGCGTGTGGAAACCATCTCTATGAATCGGCAGCTGCTTCTCAAATTGATCGAGGAGGTTCGCGGGAATGCGGTTCATCTTCCCGGACCCGCCGCCCCCACCACCGCCAACACTGATACCGACCCCTCCACCGCCGTTGCCACCGTGAGAAGTGGAGCCGTCATCCCGCGAGCCGTCGTGGTGTGAACTGTAGTGCATTCTGGGAAAGGTGCTGCTGGAAACGTGGTCAGATGCCATGGAAACGGGCATCACCATGCACTCTGAGTGGATGGAGCTGCGGGGCGAGCAGCGGTGCGGATCCAGAGGGAAGCTCTCGGTCGGGCTGAGCAGGTAGGGAGAGCGAGGGTCGGGGCCGACATGCTGCAAGTGATCAAGGGACTGATCGCAGTCTGGCAGCCCACAGGTGTGTCCTGATGTAAAGGTGAGCTGAGGACGGCCACTTGATAAACCTTTCATATTCCTGGGAGGGGAGGGGTAGCTGTCTTCATCGAAGTACGACGGTGGAGACCATGAATCCAGCTGATCTGTGAAAGACAAAGAGAGGAAAAGATAAGAGAGAGTGAGTGAGTGTGGCATTCAGCATCAGTTTAGAACTTGTTCAACCTAACTGAAGTTTCCCCATGGGCATGTAGGAAGCACTAATACATGTTTGCAAAACAGTGTGGAGGGATTCATACAAGTGTATTACTAATTCACTGAGGTTTCCTGAATTCCAGAGATCCTCGTGAACCTCTGTACAGTCATGGAAAACCCAACACTCGAATGAATGGAAGGAAATCGAGTCGTCTGGACAAAAGCACATCCCATAGCCCTCCGCCGATCCTCTCCATCTGGTCCTGCCAGGCCTTAAAAGGACTGAGTTGCAAGCCTTGCCATTTTTCCAATGCAAAGTAAAATAATAGCCTATCATTTCAGAACCGCTGGGCCATCCGTCAAAGCCGGCGCCGGAGAGAGAGGGAGCATTTCGAGGTGCTTCAGCGCTTGTCCTTGAGAGACATTGCTCAGAGATTAAAACCACATTCACTGTGATCTTTCATCACAGTCACATATGGGCAGCCTGCCGCTATCTTCATCAGAGCTAAGGCTCAGAGATGCTGCTTTTCACATCCAGCCATTTGTCCTTTCTGTCACAACTATTTCATGCTGCTGGATCATGTGTCATTTCACAAAGGTGATTAATGTGAATTTTCATGAGGTGAAAATACAGGGTAATGCATATTAAAATAAAGGTCATTTTTCTATTGATGAAGAAAAAAAATAGTGTAACAGAACATGTCAGGTTTAATTAGTTTTACTTGTCAAATTAATTCTGTTTGAATCTCTGGGATATTTTTTAATTTTAAATCATTTTAAAGTTTTATTTTATATCAGAGTAAAAAAAACATTTGGAACAATTTGGAAAATACTCACATTATGTGCAAGTATGCGTATATGTAATGCATTGAACCTCCTATTTTATCTACAAAAAAAAATAATTATATCAAATTATAATAATTAAAAAAATGTATATCAAATTATTGATAATGTCCTTTTAAGTGTTACATACACTGGTACAGACCTCTAGACCTCTGATGACTTGAATTTGACCACAAGAATCAAACATGATAGCAGTACCATGGTCACACCACAATGCAAAGCACAGTACGTAGTCAGACTGAAGATTATTTCCCTTAATTATTAGCGCTACATTCATGTGGGTTGTGCCATGGCCAACTGAATATTACTTACTTTATCTCAATAACTTCACTCACACAACATACATTAATCATATTGTAGCGTAACTGATTATAAACTTATGAGAATTACTGAGAGTTCACTTACACCTGTCTTGAAACATCCATCGACATATAAAGAATATACTACCTTTTAAAAGTTTAAAGAATGAATACTTTTATTCAACAAAAAATGCTTTAAATTGGTCAAAAGTGACGTAAAAGACATGTAATGATACATTCATCATATAATTCTGGGGGGAAAAAAAACTTACCAACCCCAAATGTTTGAACAGTGTATTTCTAACAAACACACCGACTTCAGAAAAGAAGAACGTACGCATATCTGCTTCACACTTGGTGTCAATTTGGAAAGCAACCAATTCAGAAATTCTCCCCTGTGTTTAATTAGAGCACAAGCAGAGTACTGACCAATAAGGAGATCCTTAGCTCAGGTCAGCACACAACATAATGATGCCCGAGTCCATCTTGATTGAAGAGGACCTAAAGGAGAATGTCAAGTTTGTTTATTCCGAGTGTGTGAAAGAATCAAGATAGCGAATCACAAAGAGGCTCTTCATTAAAATGAAACTTTGTAAGAGGCTGAACAACACAGAGAATCACATTAAAGCACAGCCAGAACAAACAGTCCTATTTGGATCAACATCTGTAAACTCCAGCCAATGCAGCCGCTTGATTACGTTCTTCCAAAGGTTAAAAGCAAAGAACCTTCAAGGAATCCGATTTGTTCATCAGAAAATCGAAGCAATGCGATTGTGTCCTTAACTCCCAGAAGGCTCTGTAATAAACCACAGTTACATTTCTGAATCCGAGGGGACGGATAAAACTGACAGGATCAGAATGGTTCTGGTCTCATTGGAGATGTAATAGTCTTGCAGCAGTCTGTTGTTGGTTATTTCTCCTTCATCCAAATCCAACACAACTGCAGTGAAATATCTGGAGACAACAACAGAGAAGCACAGATTGCAGACTGAAATTAACAAAGCACAAAGTCCATGCCAAAGGGAGTGAAGCTCTCCAAAAAATAAATAAATAAATAAAAACCTGCCTTGAACGCCTAATTTGTAGTCCTGCTATTACTTTCATAATTTAACTATGTCACCATGTAACACATTTTGCACTGTTTACTGTAAAAAGCTAACTTAAAAAAAGGCAACCTATCAAATTCAACTTTTTAAGTTATTTCTAATTTTTCAGTTATTTCTAACAAACTATTTTGTTCCAGATAAAGTCAACTTTAAAAGTCAACTTTGCTGTTCATGAATTAAGTAGCAGGTACTTTTTTTCATCTTAAAATTTCTTGTCAAGGCACCAATAAATGTTTAGGAATGCATGGAGCTATAATCGTTGTTTTTTCATCTCCATGTTTTATTTTCAACGTTAGCTACACAATATGAACAACATTTTCCTCTTAAACTAGAGGAATACTTTTTATCTGCAGGCAAATAAATTGCATAAGTTGCAATAAGAAGCAAGCACATTGTCACGGTGCGGGTTCAGGTAGAAGGACAGGCTGAGTCCAAAACTCGATAAACAGACATTTATTTCCAAAATACAGGCAGGAAGACGGGGTTTCACAACGCAACATTAAACATTGACCGACCAGGACAGAATGAAACAGAGGAAACTAAATACACAGAGGAATCAGGGTTGATTGGGGTGAACACAGGTGAAAATGATCATGACAGGACGAGGAACAGGTGGCTGATTGGGGAAGTGAGTCCGGGAGAGGAACAAAAGGATCCGGGGAAGTGTGGTGCAGATGACGGGACAAAACAGGTGAGGACGACCGACCGTGACATTACTCCCCCCTCCCGGAAGGCGTGACCTCACGCCGCAGAACAGAGGAAGGAGGGGGGACGAACTGGGGGCTGAGCGGGGCGTGGCCAGGGCGGAGCAGGCTGAGGGCGTGGCCAGGGCGGAGCAGGCTGAGGGTGTGGCCAGGGCGGAGCAGGCTGAGGGCGTGGCCAGGGCGGAGCAGGCTGAGGGCGAGACCAGGGCGGAGCAGGCTGAGGGTGAGACCAGGGCGGAGCAGGCTGAAGGCGAGACCGGGGCGGAGCAGGCTGAGGGTGAGACCAGGGCGGAGCAGGCTGAAGGCGAGACCAGGGCGGAGCAGGCTGAGGGTGAGACCAGGGCGGAGCAGGCTGAAGGCGAGACCGGGGCGGAGCAGGCTGAAGGCGAGACCGGGGCGGAGCATGATGAGGGCGAGACCAGGGCGGAGCAGCTGGAGGGAGGACCCCTGGTGGAGCCGATGGTAGTGGGGCTGACAACACCAGGGGGCCGACTGACAGGGGCGGAGCGGATGGGAGGGGAGACCAGGGTGAAGCTGAGTGACTGACGACATGTGGTGCTGAGGAGGGACCGAGGGACCATGGTGACACCGCAGGCTCAGGTGACAGAAGTGATGACAGGGGCACAGAGGGACACGGTGAGGTCAGAGGGCGTGAGGGCTGACGGGTGACTGGAGGGAGTGAGGAGTCCAACTGAACCGGGGGGGTGACATGACGGGGCGGAGCCAAGGGAAGGAAGTCCAAAGGTGAAGGGAGGATGACGAGGGAGCGTAGGGAATCTGGAGGGACGAGGGAGCCTGGCCGAGCTGGTGGACTGTGGGACCATGGAGGAGCTGAGGGAGGTAGGAGCCACGGGGGAGCCAATGGGACCGGGGGCCGAGGAAGTGTCCAGATGGAGGAGGTGTGAAGCGAAGACCGGGGATCCACGGACCAGGCTGGGTCAGGGGAGCTGAAGGGCAGGAGAGCAGAGGGAGGACAGATGAGAGGAGGCGGGAGAGGGAGGCTGGGTGGGATCCTGGTCTCGGGCTCTGGCTGGACGGTCTCGGGCTCTGGCTCTGGCTGGACGGTCTCGGGCTCTGGCTCTGGCTGGACGGTCTCGGGCTCTGGCTCTGGCTGGACGGTCTCGGGCTCTGGCTCTGGCTGGACGGTCTCGGGCTCTGGCTCTGGCTGGACGGTCTCGGGCTCTGGCTCTGGCTGGACGGTCTCGGGCTCTGGCTCAGGCTGGACGGTCTCGGGCTCTGGCTCTGGCTGGACGGTCTCGGGCTCTGGCTCTGGCTGGACGGTCTCGGGCTCTGGCTCTGGCTGGACGGTCTCGGGCTCTGGCTCTGGCTGGACGGTCTCGGGCTCTGGCTCTGGCTGGACGGTCTCGGGCTCTGGCTCTGGCTGGACGGTCTCGGGCTCTGGCTCTGGCTGGACGGTCTCGGGCTCTGGCTCTGGCTGGACGGTCTCGGGCTCTGGCTCTGGCTGGACGGTCTCGGGCTCTGGCTCTGGCTGGACGGTCTCGGGCTCTGGCTCTGGCTGGACGGTCTCGGGCTCTGGCTCTGGCTGGACGGTCTCGGGCTCTGGCTCTGGCTGGACGGTCTCGGGCTCTGGCTCTGGCTGGACGGTCTCGGGCTCAGGCTCTGGCTGGACGGTGCTGGACGGAACCAGCGAAGAAATCTCGGGCTCGGCGAGGCTGGGCGGAACCAGCGGAGAGGAGAGCTCGAGCTTTGGAGGGGTGCTGGTGACTTCCTCCACCGTGAATGGAGACTCACAGCACACCAGCACCCACTCTACACAGGCGGCGAAATCTTCTGGACCGTTCCCTGGGAGGCGTGCCCGGGACCGCTCGCTGAGGCTGGCGATGTAGAACTCACTCAGCGAGCGGTCAGAATAGTGAGTGAGGCACGCCAACTCCAGAAAATCCCTAGTATGGGATTCCAGGGAACGGTCTTCTTGATCAAGGCAAAGGAGAGCCACGGCGGGAATGTCCATTTTTCTTCTTCTTTTTTTCTTTTGGGT